CAACAAGATCAGTCCCATGTCCAGTCCCTTCCACAACCTTAGTCCCATGTACTAAATGCGCATCAGTCCCATATCTAGTGCCTTCACTATCATGTTCAAAAGTAGCAGTCCATTCCAAAAAAGGAGTTCCTTGTCCAGCAGCCAATGTAGAGTAATGTTGAACAACAAGAATATCATATCCTCCCAAAAGGGCAGTTCGATCCAAATCACTACTTGTCTCACCTAAACGTAACTTTTTTCCGGTACAACACCAGATGAGCAAGTCAACAACCGTTGACGAAGGCAAGTAACAATAGACATAGAAGGTAAAATAAACCAAACATTAACTAATTAAAAATTTACACAAAATACAAATTATGGCACCTAAAAATGAATTAGCAGAAAAGTTATCTCTAAACAATTTTGTTAGGACATTGTCCCTAGAAGCTCTGGTCCTATAAGCATGTATTTTGGCAATGGTCTCATCAATCAGTTTAAAACTATCAATTGATACTCCAACCTCCGCCCTTTTTTTTCCAATTATTGCCTTACTATACTTTAATACTAAATCAATATAATAAACTGAAAAATTATTACTAAAGAAATTCTTAACACTTTCATCAGAGTCCATTAGAAAGAGTTGATCTAAATTTTGATGTAAGATTGTAATTGAAAACTTAGTCTCTACTGTCCAGCCAAATGCTACTTTAACATATTTTTTTAGTTTTACCAAAGTATATGTAGAATTAAAAGAAAATGAGACTGTTCCACGACCATTAACTAATTTGACCACCACAAATTTTGTATGATCTGCAATTACAATAAAAATGTAAAAGTTAGATCATATTTAAAGTCAAAATATAACAGAATAAAAGAGTTGGAGTTACTATTAGGTTGTGCTTGACATATTATAATTTATTTTCCTTTGTCTTTTGAAGGGTCATGTGTAGGAAGTGTAGACATAGGGTTATGTGTAGGAAGTGTAGACACAGTCAAATTATTAGACCACCAAGGAGAAAAGGAATAGATTAAAATTGTGTACCCAATCTTCTGAAAAAAATAAAACAATGCATAAATAAAAAATAAAAATTTATATTAAATAATTACTTAATCACAAAAATGTTAACCTGCAATTGTTCTTTGATTAATTTGTACTCTTCAATTGGAAAATCTGCATTGGTCACAACAATTCAAAGATCAATTGCAGGTTAACATTTTTTTGATTAAGTAATTCTTACTCCCAAGCATGTTTCCCAATGAAATTTCTCTTTCCTACTTTCTAGGACTGTAGAAACCCATTTTTCTGGCAGGAGCTGCCGGAGTCCAAACCCCTTTCTTTCAAGCCAACAATAATCACCCACTGTGACTATTGCATACACCTTAGATCGTAGGATGGAGGAGAATAGAATTTACTTCAACGTAGGTTTCAAATCATTCGATATAACCAGATGGATCACGGGAAAGTCTGAATGGTACGAATGGATTGAAAAAAGCCGGAAGATGATGCAAAGATCAGTTATGAGCAAAAAGTCTATGGAATGGATCTGCTCCTGTCTGAAAGAAGCTTCAAAGGAACAACAAAAGGAGATTAGGAGGTGGAAATTTTCAGAGCAAGGTGCAGAACACTTTTGTACAAGGAAACAAACTGGATATGGGAAATTTATAATCATAATATCTCTAAATAGTGGGGGAATGTCATGTTTAATTATTTCTGAGCTTGCATTGAATGCAGGGTGGCTGGACATAACATCTAAGATTGAAAGGTTTATTAAATGCCACAGAAAGGAGGACATACCTTTCTATAGGGTGACTGAGGATAACTACCCGTATGTAGAGGCTGTGCAAGAAAGTAGATGAGGGAGTAGAAATTTAAAAAGAGCTGAGATTAATAGTAGCAAAGGAGGAATCCAGATAACCAAGTCAGCGAATATCCAAGAGGGACCTCCTCAAGAGATGCGTGATAGGATAATGCAGTGAAGATTTGAAGGAAAAACCAACTCTTGCGGATATTAGAAAGTGGGTTTCAGCAAACTGGAAAAAAGTTTTTGGTGTTAACATATATGAATTGAATAGAGAGACATTCTTGTTTGAGTTCCCTAATAGATACATGGTGGAACAAACCATACAAGGTCAATGGAGGTGGAAGAACAACAGATTCCAGCTCGACTGCTGGAGCCCAACAACAGGATGCATCCCTCACACTACTTCTGTGAGAGAAACATGGATTAAAGCAGTAGGGATCCCCCTACATATATGGTCCAAGAAGATATCTAAAGAAATAGGGAAATTATGCGGAGGATGGAGAGCAACAGAAGAAGAAATGGAGCTTAAAAACCACATGAAATGGGCGAAAATCCTGGTGTAGAATGATGAAAGAAATCTGCCAAGGGAGGTATCTATTTCCTGTGATGGGATCAAATATTACTTCCCTATTTGGGTGGAGAGCAAACCAAGGTTTGAATTGCTGCCGGAAAATGGTAGGGAAACTGCCGGAGAAGAGGACGAAGCTTTTTGCCTAGTTAATGACTTTACACAGGGGACAAAAGCTGCATACAACTGCAATACAGTACAAAAAACCCTTTTTAGGGATTTTGGTACAACTCAGCACGTGGGCTCTGTGTTGACAGCTGGAATGTCTAGTGCAAGTGGGTCACATGAGCAACATGTGTATTTTTTAAATGAGAAATTGGATTTGGGCCTTATTCAAAAGCCCAAAAACCATAAGATGTTTAAAGGATCCAAAGGCCCAGACTATGCAGCTCAAGTCATTTTTAATGACTTACAAGGAGGAAAGCCTGACCAATCAAAAGCCCAGAAAGAACAGGACTTTGCCTACTACATCGAAGCTATGCAGACAATTATAACAGTCGCACCAGAGAAGAGTACATATGTGAACGTTGTCACGATGATATCTGAAGATGAAAATAGGGGAACTGCGATGGCTACGGGGAAAGAAATTCACCATTACAATGACAAGAATGGTATCGGCAGTAGCACATAAACAGAAGGGAATGAGCTAGTGATACAAAATTCAAACACAGAAATTGTTGATTGGGAAGTGGAGGAAGCCGAGCCAATTCTGCAGCAACAACAAAATTCCTCTTGGGTGCAGCAAAATCTGATCAAACTGGGGAAGATCTTTGGAATTGATTTCCATGGACATGAAGAAGAGGCCATATAATTACTTCTCCAGATAGATAGTTGCAGACAAGCGAGAAGAATGGAACAAGGCACTGAAGTTAAAAAGAACAAAATCAAAGGTGCACAAAAACTTAAAAGTCTTGTCTCATTTGATGTAAAATTCAAAAGCTCAGGGAATAGGAACAAGGGGAGGAACACCACTCTAGTTACAAGATGAAGTTTAAACTAGTATCGTGGAATGTCCGGGGATTGAACAATAAGGAGAAGAGGAATACTGTCAAAAACTTAATTTCCGAATGGAGGGCAGACATCATCTGCCTCTAAGAAACTAAGCTTGCAGGGAATATTACAGAAATAACGAATCAGATTTTGGGAGGTAGATGGATCAGACACGCTTGTCTGGAAGCTAGTGGAACAAAAGGCAGAATCATTTTTATGTAGTATGAGAGGGCATGGAAGGGGGAGGTCTTAGAAATAAGAACCTACTCTATTACTTGTAGTTTTGAATCCAAAACACAGAATTACAATTGTCACATAACTGGAGTGTATCCTCCAAATGACTACATGGAGAGGATACTAGTGTGGGGAAAATTGGGTTCAGTAAGGGGATTATTTGAAGGGCCCTGGGCATTGTGTGGAGATTTCAATGTTTCAAGGTATATATCGGAGAAGAAAAATTGCAACAGTAGAACAAGGGGTATGAAAGAGGTCTCTGTTTTCATAGAAGACATGAAATTGGTGGATTTACAACTAAAAGATGTTGCATATACCTGGTTTAAAGGAGACCAACATGTAGCAGCCTCTAGAATTGATAGAATCTTGTTCTCAAAGAATGGGATGACAACTTCAATAATCTGAAACAGATCCCTTTGCAAAGGCTGTGTTCAGATCATATTCCAATAGCCTTGATTGGTGGAAGCTGGGAGAGAAAGAAAAGTTATTTTAAGTTCGAAAACTGGTGGTTACAATCAAAAGGTTTTGTTGACAGAGTAAAAGACTGGTGGTCATCATTCAGATACTCAGGGAAACCAGACTATGTGTTGGCCTGCAAACTTAAAGCTTTGAAGCACAAACTTAAGGAATGGAGTAAAGAGGAGAGTGGAAACCTTGGCCTACAGCGAAAGAAACTGCTAGAACAATTGGCAGAAATGGACATGGAGAGGGAAAACAGAGTGCTTATAGAAGAAGAAATAACAAAAAAAGCTACAGTCCTACTAGAATATGAGGATCTGATTAAGAAAAAGGAAATTGCATGGAGACAAAGATCAAGAATACTATGGCTCAAGGAAGGGGACAAAAATACCAAGTTTTTCCACAAAATGGCAAATTCTCACAGAAGGTACAATAACATTGATCAATTAATGATACAGGGGGAAGTCACCCATGAGCCAGCTGAAATTGAAGGAGAAATAATCACTTACTACAAGAAGTTGTATACAGAACCTATACCATGGAGACCTACTCATCACTATGCAAACTGCCCGATCATTACCAAAGAAGAGAAAATGGCCCTTCAAGGCAGATTCGAGGAAAATGAAGTGCTAACATGCCTAAAGTTATGTGTAGCTGACAAGGCCCCTGGACCAGATGGTTTCACAATGGATTTTTTCATCAAGTGTTGGGAGATAGTGAAACAAGATATAATGGATACTTTTTAGAAATTCTATGATCAAGAAGTTTTTGAGAAGAGTTTTAATGCTACATTCATTGCACTTGTACCCAAAATGAAAGGAGCCAATGAGCTAAGGGACTATAGACCAATCAATCTTATAGGTAGTATTTATAAAATACTATTTAAAGTACTCATAGAGAGACCGAATGGCGTTATAGACAAACTGGTGGATTCACAACAAATGACATTCATAAAAGAGAGACAAATCATGGATCCAGTTTTGATTGCTAACGAAGCAGTAAACTCCAGGACTAAGCAGAACAAGCCTGACATTCTTTGCAAGTTAGACATAGAAAAAACGTACGATCATGTTAACTGGAAGTACCTGATGAAAATCTTAGAAAGCATGGGATTTGGACAAAAGTGGATGAACTGGATTATGTTCTGTATCTCAACAATAAACTTTTATGTTCTAATCAATGGGCTTCCTGCAGGATTTTTCAGCTCACAAAGAGGGCTCAGGCAAGGTGACCCACTATCACCTTTCCTGTTCTTAATCAATATGAAGGGTCTGAACAGTATGATTAAGACAACTAACACAAGATGATGGTTGAAAGGTTTTGATGTGTTGAGAGATGGTGCTGAAAGTTTGGAAGTGACACACCTTCAATATGCCGATGATACACTCATCTTTTGTGGAGCAGAGGAAGAACAACTGAAATATGTAAGGGTGATACTGGTCCTATTTGAAGGGGTATCTGGCCTGCACATTAATAGGTGGAAAAGCTTTATGTATCCCATTAATGAGGTCAATAATATGAGTTATATAGCCTCAATTCTTGGGGGTGTAGTTGCCACTTTGCCAACAACCTACTTAGGCATGCCTTTGGGAGCAAAATCCAAGTTTATTGAAATTTGGAATGGCGTGATAGAGAAGTGCGAGAAAAAATTGGCTAGATGGAAAACTCAATACTTATCAATGGGAGGGAGGTTGACCCTCATCAACTCGGTACTTAATGCTCTACCAATATACATGATGTCATTATTTCCTATTCCAACAAGGGTCATCAAAAAATTGGATAGGATAAGAAGGAATTTTTTGTGGCAAGGTAACAACGAGAAGAAAAGATTTCACCTGGTGAAATGGGAATCTGTGGTAACTGGGAAAAAGAATGACGGATTGGGAATAAAAAATCTGATATTCCAAAGTGAAGCACTCAGAATGAAATGGTTGTGGAGGTACTTATTTGAAGATCAGTTAATGTGGAAAAGAGTGGTAGGTGCCAAATATGAGGCGGAAGATAGTTGGATGACCAAGGATGTGAGTTCACTTTATGAGGTCAGTTTATGGAGATCCATAAGAGAATTATAGGAGGAAGTCAAACTCAACTCCAAGGTGAAAGTGGGGAATGAGAACAAAACCAAATTCTGGAAAGATGAATGACATGAGTCAGGTAATCTGGAACTCCTATTTCCAGACATATATAACCTAGTTCTCTCACAACAAAGGACCATTGCAGAGATTTGGACAACACAGGGCTGAAATTTCAAGTTCAGAAGACATCTCAATGACTGGGAAGTGATGAGAGTGGCAAAATTTCTCAACATTGTTGGAAACTTCAATGGACTCCAGGCTGAAGAGGATGCATTATGGTGGAAAGGAAGCATCAAAGGTATATTTAAAGTAGGTGCAGCTTACAGGTTGATGGAGTAACCAAGTCAACAGATTCCTATCTGGCCATGCAGACAAATTTGGAAAGGCAGAATTCCTTATAAAGTCTCATGTTTTATATGACTGCTAGCTAAGGAAGCAGCTTTGACAGAGGATAATGTTATGAAAAAGGGGATAACCTTATGTTCTAGGTGTTTTCTTTGTGGAGAAACATCAGAAACTGTTAACCATCTTTTTCTACACTGCAAATTTACTAAACAATTATGTAGGGTATTCTTGAGTCTCAAAGACATATCCTGGGCTATGCCTAGGAGAATTACTGAAGCCCTAAAAAGTTGGGAGGAGGCAGGAGTGCTAGCTAAAAACAGAACGAGATGGAGAATTATCCCTGCTTCAATCTGGTGGGCAACCTGGAAAGAGAGAAATTCTAGGTGTTTTGAGAGCGTAGAGAATAGTATGTAGAAATTTAAACTCAACTGCATTTTGTTGTTATGTTTTTGGTGCAATCAATTATACTCAAATGAAATTGTCTCTATAATTGATGATTTAGATTCAATTTAGATTTAGAATAGTGGAGTTTTTGGAGTTCATCTGTATATAAGGTTTAGTATTGCCCATGTACTATTGTGTTATAATACAAAGTTACCAAGTTTTAAAAAAAAATATAAATTTTTATTTTTTATTTATGTCTTGTTTTATTTTTTCATAAGGTTGGGTACACAGTTTTAATCTATTCCTTTTCTCCTTGGTAGTCTGATAATTTGACTGTGTCTACACTTCCTACACATGATCCTTCAAAAGACAAAGGAAAAAGAATTATAATATGTTAAGAACAACCTAATGGTAACTCCAACTCTTTTATTCTGTTTTATTTTGACTTTAAACATGATCTATCTTTTTAATTTTTATTGTAATTGCAAATCATACAAAATTTGTGGTGGCCAGATTAGTTAATGGTCGTGGAACAGTCCCATTTTCTTTTAATTCTACCTATACTTTGGTAGAACTAAAAAAATATGTTATAGTAGCATTTGGCTGGACAGTAGAGGCTAAATTTTCAATTACATCCTTAGATCAAAATTTTAGATCAACTCTTTCTAATGGATTCTGAGGATGAACGTGTTAAGAATTTCTTTAGTAATAATTTTTCAGTTTATTATATTGATTTAGTATTAGACTATAGTAAGGCAATAACGGGAAAAAAGGGTGGAGATTGAAGTATCAATTGATAGTTTTAAACTGATTGATGAGACCATTGCCAAAATACCTGCTTATAGGACTAGAGCTTCTAGGACAATGTCCTAACAAAATTGTTTAGATGTAACTTTTCTGTTAATTCATTTTTAGGTGTCATACTTTCTATTTTGTGTAAATTTTTAATTAGTTTATGTTTGGTTTATTTTAGCTTCTATGTCTACTGTTACTTGCCTTCGTCAGCGGTTGTTAACTTGCTCATCTGGTGTTGTACCGACAAAAAAGTTACGTTTAGATGAGACAAGTAGTGATTTGGATCGGATTTCCCTTTTGGGAGGATATGCTATTCATGTTGTTCAACATTACTCTACATTGACTGCTGGACAAAAGACTCCTTCTTTGGAATGGACTGCTATTTTTGGACATGATAGTGAAGGCACTAGACATGGGACTGATGCCCATTTAGTACATGGGAACTGAGGTTGTGGAAGAGACTGGACGTGAGATTGATCTTTCTGGAGGGACTGATCTTCAGACTGCCCTTTTGGGAGGATATTGCCTGTTGTTGAACATTACTCTACATTGGCTGCTGGACAAGGGATTTCTTCTTTGGAATGGACTGCTACTTTTAGACATGATAGTGAAGGGACTAGATATGAGACTGATACTGATTTAGTACATGGGATTGATGCTGTGGGATGGACTGAACCTGTAGAAGGCTTGTTGTTGGACAACAATTTAGATGATGCTCATTAGCTGAGACAATATATTTTGTTAGAAACGTTGTAAAATATTCCTTGTTTCTGTTAACAATAAGTGAATATTTTAGCTTTTTTGTATTTCTGAATTTTGTGGTTAATGAATTTGTTGCTTGTATTTGTAGATCATCTACTTGGTTTTGTAGATATGGAGTTTTTAGTAAATCAACCATGTTACTGTTCATATCTTTTTGATGTTTTCAAATGTTCTCCTTTGAGTTTGAGTAGCATGGACCCCCCTCTCCCTCAATATAAGGAAAAGAGAACCTAAGCAGTGAATCACTCTTTTGGATTTTTTTGGAGCTCATTTGCACAGTAGCACCCGCCTCCAGCAACACAGGAGACACAACTCTTTATTTTTGGTCTTGCTTTTATGATGATGCTTCTTGTCATCATATCATGCATTACCTAAGGCAACACGTAAACTAAGTTGTGGTGACATTATTTCAATAGCATTTTGGCGTGACCTAGGGATAAGGTCTATGTACAATCTACCCTCCACACACCCCATTTGTGCAACCACACTGAATATGTTATTACATTGAAACTGTATGAAATTGTTAACTGTCAGTAATGAGAACAACACTAAATGAAGCCGCTTTGTCCTTTATATCTTCTTCACCCATATCATTTGCTAATATTCCTTTGTCTTAATTTACCTCCTATGAATTATGATATCTCTATTTGGTGATTCATTGTCAACATAAAGATTGTTAGCTACTGAAACTTCATGTTATAGCTATATTACTTGTATATGTATAAGTATTAATTCTTACCTTCATATTATTGCATATGAACCTTCTTTTAGATATATAGAACTCTATTTGCCTCCCTTGTCCCTTGCTAATGGAACATACTCTTTGTTTGTGATGCTAATTTTGCTTAATTGATTAATTTCAGTAATGACTGATTAGTCTTAATATACTTACTTTGAATGATAATTCCTCTCCAAGTTCAAACTTATTAATATCTAATGTAATAAACGTAGGTGTATCATTGACGACCAAATTCAACACAACAATACTAATTGGTCCACTTTATCCACAACGCGAGCAACTACAAGCATGGTCCACTCCTTAATATGTTCTCACTGTCTTTTTTTTACATATCAAATTAACATTACCAGCAATGAACCTTTTTTGAGATTATCTGCAAGGTCACAGAGAACAAAGGGACACTTCATTTACTTTGAGGAGCACATCCAAATCTGGATCTCTCATCACCATTCCAGTAGATGAAGAAGTCATTGCAAACACTGAATCCGAAGAAGATGTTAGTAAAAAATGCATTCATTATTTAATGTTAAAACTTACTACAAATACTTACATTCATTCTTTTCTTTATACATGGACAAACATGCTCAATTGAAGTAAAAATGCTATTCCCAAGTGACCAAAAGAGATGCTATGTTTTGGTATGCTCCAATTGTGGACAAGAAGTCCGTTATCCAATCATCATAAAAATTCAGTGTATGAATTGCAACCAACATAAGATGCTCATCCCCAGGTACTTTATTACTACACCAACAATATCAATTTCTTTTAATTTTTAATAACAAATAATAGTATTTTAACCATACAATAACACAGGTGTCGATTTGATGTAAATCTCAAAGATAACTCTGGCTCAACAATTGGGATGATTATGAACAAAGAAGGAGAAAAACTATTATCCCTAACTGCAGAACAAATTTATGAAAGAGCTTCCACTAAGATATACGTCCTAACTAAACAATATATATAATTTTTACATAACAAACTTACCAAAATGATTTTTTCACTCTCCTAGAGCAACTGTCCACCTATGAAAGATGGACACACAAGCTTTATCAACAAGATCTTCTCTATTCGAGCCAAGAAATAATTTTCCCGTGCTTCAAACGCAACTGCTACAAAATTATATATCCAATCATGCGTTGAAAAAGAAAATACCACACATTCTCTTCCAGCAACACCAAACACAATCAATATCTAAGAAGGAAGCAAAAGAAAACAAACAGTTGAACCAGAACAAGTGAGTGAACAGGCTGAATCATCATCACTCAAAATGAAGCAGAAACTGGAGCCACCAACTCCAGAAAAACCAAACTGAGGGTGATTACCACCTTTTTGCTCCTCATTCTTTCTTCAACTGCTATTTCTTTCTTTATTTTACAGTATATCACATACTAACCAAACATTTTCTTTCAAAACAATTTTTATAGTTTATCCAAGCGTTTTGGCAACTACTTTTGAATACTGTACAGAAAAGGTAAGTACAATTTCATTTGTTTTTATCATAATCCCAAATACAAATGTTTAATGTTATGTTTCTACCTTACAGGAAATACAAAGCTTGCTCACTTTTGGATTTCTCCATAAATGCATAAGTTCCTCACTCACTTTGTACAGTTTTGGTTATGACACAAAGGTCAGCAAACTTTATTGCTAAGACTTCTCCATATGATCACCTTCTCAGACAACAACTAAATACTTCACTTGTTTTTTTAGTACTATTTTTATAAATACGTAATAAATAAAAAGTTATCTTAGATTAATTAATTAAATGTGAAAAGAGAGTAGTTTGTTGTACTTTCCACATAGTTTTTCTGAAGTCCAAATAGGCGAAATGGTTAGATAGACCCTTGTACTTGTATGTGTTTGTATTTTGAACCTTTCTACTTACCTCTTTGTCAACTGAACCCTTTAACTCAATAAAATTCACCATCTTAAACTCTTCTGACCATTGACCAAACTTATGTGACAACTTAATTGTTGAGTTGGCATAAGTACGTGATTTCACGCAAAAAAGGAGCGTGAAAATAAAAATTTAGACTAAAAATAATTAGAAGAAAAAGGATCCCCATTTCTTTCACCTTCCCTGATCTTCCCCCACCCAATCCCCCATTCCTTTCGTTCTCCCTTCCTCCACTCCTTTCCAGTTCGTTTTCTCTTTTTCCTTTTTCATTTTCTCTTTCCCAAATTAGAAACGAGATCGTGCAAAAAATAAGAACAAAATGAGCAAAGGAAAATCGAGAAAATTGGTGCAATACCCAAATCCATGGCAAAAATATGTCTAATGAGTATTTTGAACTCTTTTTGTTGTTAAAATTGTTAGCAATTTTAGTGCTCCTTCTTTAAATCTGTTATTGTTCTCGATTTGTCTTTATTTTCCATTTTCTAGGGTAAAGTGACAAAGATCCGATAGTTTTGAAAGGATAAAAGTAACTGTTGAATGTAAATTAGATGAAGTCTGTTGGATAAAATTGTGTATAAATATTATAATATATTGAAATACTTTAATGGTGATTCATTGGCATCCATGGAGAAAAGGGTTTTACATGTGTTGGTCAAGTGATATGAAGATGAAGATGAAGATGAGTGAAATAGAAGAAAAAAATAATTTATTTTAAAAAATTAAATAGTAAGTGACGTGTCATATAAAATCTGATGTGGGTGATGACATGTCATTTTTATTGTGCGTTTGAAGTTCACACAAGGACAAAGGGGTTTAAAATGCTGAGTTTCATTGAGTTTAAGGGTTTAGTTGGTAAATGGTTAAGTAAAAGGGTTCAAAATACAAACTCATACAAGTACACAAGGATCCATCGAACCATTTCGCCGTCCAAATTATATAATTTACTTTCCCAATTGAGAAAATTACAAGAATATACTATTTAAGACTTTAGTTAACAATATATACATATACTCTTTTTTATTTACAAAACTAAGTTTTTAATTACAAACATAACAAAATATTTAATTTTTTATTTGTTAAAAATATATTTGGTATCCGTTTTTATTACCTTTTTTAGGGGAGGTTATGTGATAATTTTATGGGATTGATAGTTATTGTTTACTTTTTTTTGACTTTTTCAACCACAGTTTTACTCTTACTTTGTTTTTATATATATTGATTTTCTCTCTCTTTTATTGTTATTCAATCAAATCATATTATTAATGGAAGCCTTCTCTCATATTTTTACCATTATTTTCATCTAGGTAAAAAACATGTAGGTTTCATCAAGTATGCATAGTGTCTTCACAATTATAACTGCATCGTAGTTTCACCAAATATGCAACCATGTAATATATAAACATACATACATACCAATTATATAACCATCATTTTACCAATAATTATTACTAATTTATACCTTTTAAATATATCAATCATATAACCATCATTTTACCAATAATTATTTTACTACTATATATAAATATACTATTTTATACCAATAATTATTACTACTATTTTATACCTTTTAAATATACTACTATATATCAATAGATATTGCATAAATATTTTGAAAATCTTTATTACTGTAATAGGCTAAACAATAGTTTTCACCACGTTTGTTATTGTATCCGATAACAACAACTACATGACTATAAGAAATTTCATCATGTTGAAATTTTTCACAACTACGTATGTCATAAACGTTTTAGCACGATCTGCAAATATATGAAGATATTATTACTATAATTACTACAAAAATTCATATACAAAGTTCAATTTAACCATTACAAAGTCTTATTCACCAATATGTACTCAAATATACATAAAACACTTTGGTGTATCTAAAGTTGATTTTTTGGTGTATTTTTTAAAACTACGAATCTTCAATGGTGGGAACGGATCAGTCACAACATATTTGAGTTCCAACTCAAAAACGATTGTGTCCACACCTAATTGAGAAGCAGTAGTATTAATCAAGTCTTGGTAATTGGTGTCCACATCATATCACTCCTTCAATCTTGAAATTCAGATACTTTCCTGCGACATTACAAATATTTGTTAGTCAAAATTCAAAAAAATTTGGTGGCAGATAACAAAAATACTCATTAACAACATATGTCTAATACACCAATATAAATTGGACCAAAAAATACACCAACACATACATTAGGCTATTAGCTTGGTGTTAGTTCGTAGCAACAAATATGCCATCATATGTACCAGATCACATACCAATCCAAAATTTTCAATTTTATATTTTATTAGGATACCACCAATCAA